ATGTGCACACAAGTCATCTGGGGATCTTGTTAAAAACACAGATTCCAGTTCGGTCCATCTGGGATAGGACCTGACAGTCCACCTCTCTAACAAGCTCCCTTTGACGTCTGTGAAGCTGGTCCAGGAACCAGATTCTGAGCAGCAAAGATGCAGAGAAAAGAATTGGGGGCTGAGAGGCACATGGTTCGCTGCTTGTAGGATGCTTCTGAAATCTTTCTGAGCCTCGATTTTCCATCTTTTGAAGATAACGATGCACAAATGAGTGAACTAAGAAAGTGTGCAAATGTAATAATAGTGTGAATGTTCTCCACTATTCCAGGTAGCCACTAAATCATCTAATTCCAGAGTGCACTGGAACTCCAAACAGAAAGTGTTAAAACTGCATACCTCGGGGACCACCAAATACTCCAATTAATTGACCTAGGTGGGCATAGGCGCATGCATTTTAAGGAGCCACCAAAGTGATCTGATGCTGTCGGTTCTCAGACCACACTTTGAGAAACCCAGTCCCAAGTGATGAGTGCTCTGCTCTCCCCTGTGTGGAAATTTAAGATAACAAGGTATAGCAGAGGGTTTCTTGTAGCTGATCACAGCTTCAGGACTCTTACTTCCCCTTGGATTGGTGCTTGTCAAACTTAATGTGCACAGAAATCACCCAGGGAATCCTGTTGAAACACACATTCTGATTCTGTCAGTGTGGGTGGAACCTGAGATTCTGCATTTCTAACAAGCTCCCAGATGAGGCTGAGGCTGCTGGCCCAGAGACCTTGAGTAGCAAGAACCTAGATCAGTGGTTCTCAGCCCAAGCTGAACATTAGAGCCATCTTTTAAATGTTACGGGCATTAGAAAATTTTAATTTTTAAAATTGGTCTTGGGTAGGGTTCAAGCATTTTTTAATGCACTCATGTGATTCTAACGTGTAGCCAGCATTGAGGACCCCCACACACACACTCCCTGCCCCAGATGGAGGCCAAGGCAGTGACTGAAGAACAGGAATGGGCAGCCAGCTAGGGTCCACCATGCATGCCAGTCCCAAGTCCGGTTAAGTGGGTCTTAGAGTAGTTCCTTTCCGGTGAAATAAGGCAGCCTGGCTCATCCATCTCTTGACACTGATGGGAGTCTGTGATACGGTTTCTGCAGGAAAAGGGAGTGCAAGTTTTAGCAGGAGAAATAAAGAAGCTGGATGTTTTATGCAGACCCCGATGCAATTGCTACTGCAGCTTCAGACCACACAGCTCTTTCCTTTCCGACTTCCGCCTGTGATTTTTCCCGCACTCTCTGCTTGGCTCTCACAGGGTGCAGGCCAGGGTGGAACACTGACCTGTCTCATTTTGCCCCTGGCCAGGAGGCAGTGGGGAGCAGCCAGCCGCGACGAGCCCAAAGGCTGATGAGGGCTCGGAGTCCATGCTCCCCAAGCCCAGGAGCGTGTTCCACATCGAGTCATCATCCATTCAGAGGAGGAGCAAAGGTGTGCACTTCCTCCCCGTCTCTCTCGGGTCCTTGATTTACTCATGTCTAAAATGGGGACAATGGCAGTACCTACTTCACAGAGTGGTGGGGATACCCATGAAGCTCAGGCTCATTCTTATCACACCTGACCTCTGACCACAGCCACAGGTCCCAGTGTCTAGACTCTCCCTGGGTGGAGGGAGACTGGAGCCAGGACAGGCCATGGGCTGTGTAGGTCTAGGCCAGCAGGTCTCAAACTTGGCAGCACATTGGAATCACCTGCATCCCATTCCTGGAGACTCTAATCTAATTCTTCTGGGAAGAAACCTGGGTGGGCATAAGGACCTTTAAAACTCTCCATGAAATTCTAATTTTCTTCCAAGTCACAAACCACTGGTCTTGGAGGCAGAGATGAGAAGTTCCCACCTACAGCAGAGGTGGACATGTCAAGACCAAGGGGACAGTTGGAGAGCCATGGAGAGGAGGGGACTCCCAAAGGCCAAGAAGGGAGTTGAGAAGGCAGCCAAAGCTGAGCAGGTGGGGAAGCCAGAAACTTGCTTGGATTTGGAAGCTGAGCACATCCTGTGGCAAACAGGGAGGAGCCAGGGCAGGGGTCTCCCCAACCAGCTGCAAGGCTGGAGCAGCCTCGTGAAAAGCCAGGGCAGAGGAGCAATCTAATTCTGCCCCCAGACTCCAGAGAGGAGAGCCAACTTGCCCAGAGTCACACAGCTGGCAGTGGGCACTGCAGGGGATAAAACTGATCCCCGAGTTAGTGTCCTTTTTACAACAGCACTTGCTTCCCTGAAGACGCATTAGTGACTTGATTCCTTCAGTTCCTCTGAGCCTCGTCATTTCGTACCAAAAGCAGTCAACCCGGTGAAACGGGCCTCATGCAAGGTGGAGATAACTCAAGGGCAAATCTAGTCCTGGAGTTTGTCTTTGACAGAGGCCCCTGGGCGTGGTGAGGAAGAGAGCATGATTTGCCTCAAAAGGTTAACAGTCTCCTCCAAACATGCTCTTATGACAGTGATTGGGGGCTGGGATGGGGGAGGGCAGAGTAGAGAGCCCCATGCAAAGGAGCCTGGTGTGGAGGTTAGTTGGAATTGCTGAAGAGCTGGCAGGCAGAGAGGAGCTTCAGACATAGGCACCCGGTCTATCAGGATATCACACACCAGCCTCGAACTCTAGAGGAATCGTCTTTGCTTCCTAGTCTTCCTTTCAAAGCTTCCAAAATGTATTTGTTCTCCTGCATAGTGTAACTTCCCAACCACAGTGGCGCTTGCAGTCCATGCTTCTTCAAAAGCGGGAACACAGTGCCTTTGATGCATCCTTTCCAGTGCTTATGTACCATAAAATGCATGAATGCAAACTGGGAACGGCCAATTCAGGCTGAACCTTCAGGACTTCAGCACCAGCCTGACATTCTCACATTGACCACAAGAGGGAACCAGAGCATCAAGACCGAAACCTCCAAGGGCTCTCACTTTTACGTTGCATAAAACTGTACTGAAATTGTTCACCTTTAAAAGTAAACTATCCGGTAATAATGAAAAATATGTTTAGAGCCACGTTACAATAGTTTTTTAGAATTACAAAAACATGCCAAAATCTGTCTTAAGTAACGACACGGATATCACTTGTCTTACTCCAACCAGGGGCTGCTACTAAAATACCTAACATTCAAGAGACAAACATCCAAAAAAGAGACCAAAGCAGCCTGAAATCATCCAGATGGAAAGAGTCATAGTCAAACGCAAACAGGCCTTGCCCAGCTCAGTCGCTTAATACTTTACAAGCAGTAGGGTCCAAGCTCTTTTCTTTGCATACCTACCAGTTCTCTGAGAACTTGGAGAAAGAACCTTGAATTCAGGGATCATGGACAAGTCACTGCTTCCTCATCTGAAAAATATAGGGGTTGGGCTAAATCAGAGCTTCTTACCTCAGGTCAGTCAAGTTTCTGAACTCTCTAAGTTCTTGTAAAATGTCCTGTTTACATGAGGATGTGCACTTTTTTCCCCAAAGAGAGAGCCCAAATGGATTTGTGATGAGTAAAAGAAAAAGAGAGCCTTCAAGCCACAGGATGCCATGGTTCTGTGCTTCCTCAAGTGGAAAAGGAAATACTGAATATTCCAACAATAGCCTTGCAAGAAATTTGCTGCTAAGGTGCCCAGGTAGAGGTGTCCTCATTGATGATGTTCTTTTCTTCCACCTCCAGTGTTTGAAAAAGACGAGCACCAGGAGAGACAAACCAAAGACCCTTTTCCCTGTCAGTACCAGAAGCCCACGTTGGAGCTGCTGGTGAGTACTGAGCGGCCCAAAGCAGGGCAGCGCCCCCGAGTCATGAAGCCCGAGCAGATTAGAAGCTGAGTCTGGAAAAGACATCCACTGATTTAGGCAAACTCTTCTTGAATTCATACTTCCAGAAACAGAATTACGTGGGATAAAAATGTCCATTTTTCACAGTTAACTTTATAAAGTTTCATTTTCCTTTTATTTGAACTATTTATTATCTGTCTTCCTCTGAATCCCACATTCAAGCATTTAGGAGATGCGCTTATTTTCAAAAACAGAATCTTTGCATGTTTAATTTTATGCACAGATAAATTTTAAACACTAGACATGCTGGGGAGGGGGGGGTAATTTTTTCAGAAACGAGTGTGGTACAGTGGAAGTAATGGTTTGAAAAAAGAATCCAAAGATCTGTGGTTAAATCTCAATTCTACTATTTGACCTTGACCTTTGCAAATGAGACCCTCTCCATCCTTGCCTGAGCTTTCATCTGCAGGATGAGGATAAAGATATTGCCTTGTTTACTGCAAGGTTGTTGCCCAAATTAAATGAGGTAACATGTCCAACTAAAGATATTGTAGTCATTAGAAACACAGAGATGAGTAAATAGCAATTTCACTAAATACCAAATGAAAATCTTAGCTTGGTCCCTGAGCGAGCACAAACGTCACTTCTCAGTGTGAGAAGCACAGAATGTGGGAGGTTCTTGCCTGTCTCTTGTCCCGGGACAGGATCTGGACACCATGGAGGAGAGCTCTGAAATAAAGGTGGAAACGGACACTTCCAAGACCTCCTGGATTCGGAGTTCCATGGTTGCGAGTGGGAAAAGGATCAGCAAAGCCTTCAGTTACATCACAGGAGAGATGAAGGAGTGCGGAGAAGGACTTAAAGGTAGAGGTCCCGTGAGAGCAGCCCCTGACCCCCTAGAAAGGTCACATCCCATTGTCCCTCAGGAAACACATTGCCAGAGTTCTCTGCAGACCAGACTGAATTCTGCTTCAATGGTCTTTCAAAGATAGGAGTTTCGCTGTTAAGACAGACATACAGTCTCTTGGGATGTAAATATGATATGTGTAAGTGTGTGGGCTCTCGTTTCTGAACGTAACAGTTTGCTTTCTCAAATATCCATCAGAGCGTTGCAGTCAGGCATTTTAGCCCTGGAATTCTAGAGCCAGTGTTCTAGAAAAGAATGCCTGCCTGTGAATGGCTTGTGGGAGAACTGAGTCTACTATTCCGGGAAATTCTCTTTAGCAATCTCTCCAGAGCTCAGGTCATGGGTGTGAATGCCCTCTACACAGCAAGAGGGTTTTCTTTCTGGATCCACCTTCTAGAAAATTCACGCCACTCTCATGAGGGCACAGACAGCTCAGGTTTGAAAAACAACCTAAAGACCACAACGAGCTGGCAATGGATCTGAAGAGTTTTCTGGGCAGTCAAATGCCCTCTCAGTTCTTGGTTTACCCTCTTCTGTGGCAGGTGGCAGCAGGGGGCTGGCTTCCTGCAAAACCACCTCGGATGTGGACATTCCCTCACACCTCAGGCCGGCCCACAGGGGCATCACCTGGGGCCATTGCCCCTGAGCACTGACTGACTCCCTGCCCCCGCTCCCTTTCAGACAAATCCCCAGTGTTCCAGTTCCTCGACTGGGTCCTCCGGGGCACATCCCAGGTGATGTTTGTGAACAACCCCCTCAGCGGCATCCTCATCGTCCTCGGCCTCTTCATCCAGAACCCCTGGTGGGCCATCTCGGGCTGCTTGGGCACTGTTGTGTCCACTTTGACAGCCCTCATCCTGAGTCAGGACAAGTAAGTGCCAGGAGACCCAGCGTCTGAGTGTGAGGCCAGAGGTCACTCCCTGTGAGGACCCATCGCCACCTTCCCAATCCTCTCCCTGCTTGGCTCCCACCTCAGAAACTCCTCCAAATAAGGACACATAACTAAAAGCAACCATTCCCTAATTATTTTGTAATAGCTCCATATTGTCTCCGGGAATATGACAGGTTGACGTCTTTGCTCCCCATGCCCAGAGGGGCCATCTGTTTGAAGGTGTGTGTAGTCAGGACCCTGTTGAGAAAAGTCTGACTCAGAAGGAAAATCAAGAAGGCAGCGCCCCTGCATTAGGCCAAGGGGAAGCCCCCACTTCACCAGCCCACCCGCCTCTCCCCCCAGGTCAGCCATCGCGGCAGGACTTCATGGCTACAACGGGGTGCTGGTGGGGCTGCTGATGGCTGTGTTCTCAGACAAAGGCGACTATTACTGGTGGCTTTTGCTCCCCGTCATCATTATGTCCATGTCGTGGTAAGTTTGCTTCTGAGGCTGTGGGTGCAGATCAAGGGCTGCCAATCTTTCTATCCCAGCTCCATGGCTGTCTGTCTAAACTCGAATTTAAGGGGGCATTTACTTAGCTTGCACAACAGAAATATCCACTGGAAATAATTACTCAGGTTATACAGTGACAGCACCATGCCAGGTGATATATATACTGTATCTCGTTACCTACCATCCTTGACTCTTCATTTTTAACATCTGAAAGGGTTTCTGGTCCTACCCTGCTGGAGCACAGGGACAGACATGGAGGCCCACATAGGTTAAGAGCCACACCACGGGGTCATATGGGTTTCTGGAAATCTCATTCCTCCTGCCCCCCGGTCCCAGCTTTTCCTTGTCCTTGGGACCCCTGACCAGACCAGGACAACCTTCCCAGTGTAGGCTGAAGGCCCAGCCACCGGGCAGAGCCCTCAGCGTGCCAGGGCCCCGCTCCTCCCTCACCTCCAGACATTGTGGGGCGCCCTGGCCGTGAGGCTCGGAGCTCTCGGCTTGCTCAACAAACACTTGTTGAATGAATGGATGTGACTCCCTCCCCATCACTCCCCCAACCTGTCCTCTCTCCTCATGCCTGGGGATGAAGCTATATGACTCTTCAAGGGAGTTCTGACTCCCTGCCTTACAACTCCCCCCAGAAAGCCCGCCTTCTGAAGTTCTGAGCCTGGGCATTGACCCTGTCGCCGTGCTGGGCACAGGCGGGAGAGCCAGAGAAAGACCTGCTCAGGCCAGGCAGGCTCGGAGAGGGTGCCCGGTGGGCCACTTTTCCCCAGGAGGGTACAGGGAACCCCCTGTTCCCACTCAGTCTAGTGTCAGGGCCAGGGGGCTCTTAAACAACATCTCTGTGCTTCTGCCTCAGCCCCATCCTCTCCAGTGCCCTGGGCACCATCTTCAGCAAGTGGGACCTCCCGGTCTTCACACTGCCCTTCAACATCGCTGTGACCCTATACCTGGCGGCCACAGGCCACTACAACCTCTTCTTCCCCACGACACTGCTGCAGCCTGCATCCTCCGTGCCCAACATCACCTGGTCGGAGGTCCAGGTGCCCTTGGTAGGTATCATGGAAGGTGGAAGGGCAGCGTCTGTCCAAACTCCATGTTTTAAGGTGGCATTTATTTATTTTGCACATCAGAAACACCCAAGAGTAATAACTACTAACTATTATATAGTGCAAGGAACTCTATGCACAGCACCACGTGAACCACCATCCTTTTCTCTTTCTAAGAGCTAAAAGGGCCATTTCTGGTCCCCTCATCATAGCACAGAGGAAGAAACCGAGGCCAGGTTGAGAAATGTTCCTGAGGTCACAGAGCCATCAGCGGAGAGCAAAATTAAGCCTAAAACTCCAGCTTCCTGACTTCTAACCTGGGTTCTTTCTCTTTTCCTTCTTTTTTTAAAGTCTTTTTGATGCTTTCTTCCAGTTTCAATCCAGTTTATGCTGTGTATTTTCTTTCATTCAGTCTCACTAAAGCATTAAAGACACACACATCACACTACCATCTCCTGGCTTGAGAAGTCTCTGCTCCAACCTCCATAGCTTTCCATTCCCCTGGCTGAGGCATGCTCACACTTTAAAGCACAGGTGTTCCTCCATTAAGAAATACATATATGACAGAGCTTTTAAAGTTTTTTACAAGTATTCTGTATAGAATGCTGGCCTCTGGAAATCTGCCAAGATACTTAATAAGAAGCTAGACTAAAAGCATTAAACCGGCATGGAGAAACGTGCCCATTAGCTGTCTTATCTAAGGGGACACGTTCTCTCTGAGGCCCTCCTCCTTTCCGTTACACTGAACGACCCCACGGGCCTCACTCTGAAACTTCATTATCGACGATTCATCATCTAACCACAAAGCCACTTGGGCTTATTGAAGGAACTTTCAGAAATAATGATGCCCGGTTTCTCTCAGCATTGCGTAGTATGCAACAGCATGGCAGAGTAGAAAGAGGCCTGCATTTGACTAAGAAGCATTACTATTTAGGAAGAGAAATATTGGCGTTAGCCCCTTCCTTGTTGATTTATGTGTGTGTGTGAGGACCTGGAAGAGCCAGAGGCAAGAAGAGGGGCCGCATTGGCAGTTCAGCTCCTTAGGGCTCCCTTTCACGGTATTTATCCAATCAATATCTTTCAAAGGCAAAATTGCTCTAATTGGTACACTATGGGGAGATGATATTAGAAAAGGCAAGTTTAAGATGTTTTGCATTCTCCATGCTACATTTTCCATTGAAAAGTTATCTAGGAATTTTGTAGAAATTAAAAAAAAATTGGAGAATCCTGTACAAATATTTCAGCACCCAGAGTTTCAGGAAAGAAAAATTCAATTTCTGGTGGTTGTCCTTTAAGAAATAATTTTCTGGCTAATTGAATGGATTATGGTAATGATTAATAAGTTTTGTCTTTTTGACCATCGTAATTAGAGCTTTAAGTTTGGGGGAAACAGGTGGTAACTGTCAGAGAGAGGGTCAAAAAATCTCAACAATTTTGAGTCTCCGTGTGTTCCTCTGCCGTTGTGGTCACTGAAGGGCCCCCCTTGGAGGACGGGGCCAGCAGGGGACTAACTTACTGAGCACCACTGCCTCTATACAAAACTCACTCGCTGGGGTTGGCCCAGTGGTGTAGTGGTTGGGTTCGCGTGATCCGCTTTGGCGGCCCAGGGTTCACAGGTTCGGATCCTGGGCATGGACCTACACACCATTCATCATGCCATGCTGTGGCAGCGTCCCACATGCAAAACTGGAGGAAGATTGGCACAGATGTTAGCTCAGTGACAATCTTCCTCAAGCAAAAAGAGGAAGATTGGCAATAGATGTTGGCTCAGGGCCAATCTCCCTCACCGGAAAAAAAAAAAAAAAAAACTCACTCACCTGTCCTATCTTTCCCCCACATGGTGACACCAGAGTGCCCATCCTGTTCTCTGTCCTGGGGTCACAAGAGACTGAGCCCAGAGGGTTAGCCCACTAGACCCACCCACCAGCTTCTATAGGGTCCTCCTGGCCCGCACACTCTCACCACAGCGTGAGGGCCCTTGAGCTCCAGGATCTCCTTCCCTTGACACCCTCAGGGAACCGAGTCCTCTCAGAGGATGTGGGCTGAGAGGAGAACTGCCTTATCCTAATATATGCACACACTGGCCCCAGGACTCTGCTTCTCCTCAGCTCTCTGCCCAAAGGGTGAGACGACCCCAGTGCATCCCAGGACCACCCAGAGCTGCCTCCCTGGAGCAGTTTCCTAGCTCAAGGGCCTCTGGCCAGGCTTCCAAACCACAGGGCCCAACCCCAGTCACGGGGGAAGCCTGCACGCGCAGGATCCTTTTCCCAAACTCCAGAGCACGCGTGCAAGTGCCCACAGGACATTGGACCCTGGCTCCTCACCGCCTTCTTCTCTCATGGTCAGGCCGCTGCTCCTGAGATGCATGGAGGCCTGGCTCAGGCCGTGCTCATCCATCAGTCACCATTTGCTGGGTTTATCCACCAAAAGGCAGATGTGATGATGACACCACCTTTTCAGGGGCTTTTCTGCAGATTCTAGTTCAATTGCTCAACCAGACCGGACTCACATGACCACAGCCCAGACACGTTGTTCTTGCAAATGCAAAGGACCATGCCTCCATCTGATATTTAGCCTCCCAGTTATCTTTTCAGCCTTTCAAAAGATGTTACAAGAACGTTTTCAAAGCCCAACTTTGGTCAGACATCTATTACTTTCCTAACGAATAACACCCTCATTTGAAGAGTTTTCAGTTTCTCTTCACTGGGGGTTTCGTGCCTCACATTCACGCTTCCAATAAAGGAAACTTAACAGCCCAAGCCCTTAGGGTTCTAAGAACTCAAGATTAAAACAATAAAGCTTGTCTACCTTTTAGAGTCAACTTATTTGAATAAAAATATCTTGGAAACCGGTAGCAAAATGTTAGCGTGGACCGGTTGGCACCACATCGTTTCCAGTCAAGGTTCAAGTTGTCTCTCTTGCCTTTATAATCACGTGTGATCCTGTTGTACCTACAGCTTTTGCGAGCCATCCCTGTTGGAATCGGCCAAGTGTATGGCTGCGATAACCCCTGGACTGGAGGCATTTTCCTCTTAGCTTTGCTCATATCTTCACCTCTTATTTGCTTGCACGCTGCAGTCGGATCCACCATAGGGATGTTAGCAGGTTAGTGTCATCACTGCTCCCTTATTAATGAGCCGTAAGGATGTTAGTGCCTGGGGCCAGCTCCAAAGAAAATATCGTCCTGTGTCTTCAATGCTCCACCTGCTTATTCCTGTAAACTTTCCCTCCTTCCCTTGTACCGTGTTTTTCCATTTTTGATGCCAGTGCCCTCAGGCTCCCCTGAGCAAAAGCAGTCCTGAAGACAGGCTTTGATATTAGTCATTTACACTTTAGTATAAATTTAAAGTTGAGGAGGGGTTTCTTCTATGCATGTTTGTATTTTGAGTCTCATCTCTAATCGTGATAAGAAGGATTTGGTCTCCATTAGAGAACATTAAGATATCCATGAAGAAGGAGAGGTCCTCCTTATCTAACAGGGGAAAGACCTTCCCTGGACCGTTTAAATCAGACTTCAGATACCTTACTCAAAGGGTCTCTTCTACCCATAACAGCTTAGCCCCTAACATTCATGTGGCTCTGTGGCCATTTGATTCCTTCAGGTGTTTTTTCACTGAATTGAATCAGAAGTGCTCTAGTATAAACACCTAACAGGGTAACTAGTCTGGGCTTTGAGGACCGGGGCGGGTTTCAGCGCTGACGCCTGCCTCTCTCGCAGCGCTCGCTATCGCCACGCCTTTCGACTCCATCTACTTCGGCCTGTGCGGCTTCAACAGCACGCTGGCCTGCATCGCCATCGGAGGCATGTTCTACGTCATCACCTGGCAGACGCACCTCCTCGCCATCGCCTGCGGTAGGTGCTGCCCGCGGAATTCTCGTCCTGCCTCGGGTGATGCCGGTGTCTGTCCCCGCAAGGACAACCATCCTGAGAAAATTCTGCTGATCCTCCAAAGACAAATATGAGGAATTGCTTGCTTTATAAAAGGGCTTTTATTTAAAACTGTTCTGAATGGTTGTTTAGTGATTAGTACATTAAAAACCATTTTTAAGTGTTCGGCCACATGAAACAGATCTTTTAGATGGTGGTTGGTTGGTGTTCGTGGGCTGTCTCTGTGATTGCTAATTTCCCCGTGATTGAAACTAACTGGTAGAGTAACCCTCATGCAAATTGATCTTTATATTTGGAATTGGGCGATTTACATCAGATGTCCCAATTAACCTTAAGCACCCAGACATTGACCATAGGCCCTTCAAATAGTACTTACGTTGAAGGAATGCTGAGAGATGCTGGGACTACCACCAGCTGTGCGCTCAGTAACTCTCTAATAAAAGCTTGCAGTTGTTAATATGCTGGGGACAGTCAGGCTGCTTTCAGTTGAGAAATTGAGGGTTCAGAAGCAAAGCCCACTTACACTGGCCCGTTTTCACAGAACCTCCAGGCTGCACTTGGCTCTTCCCAGGGGCCAGCCTGATCAGTGCCTTCCGCACGCAGAGCCTAGAAGACCAGGCAGTAGGCATCTTTGGTCTTCCTCAAGCATACAGAACATTGCTCCTCCCTGGAAACTCATATTATGTTAATAAGTTGTGATGAAATATTCCAGCGGGGGGTCTGGGATTCACTTGCCTTGGCTGTATAGTAAAATTTTCATTTATGGTTTATGCTGCTAAATGTTCCTTTGCTAGAATGCAAGGTGGTGGGACCCAAGAGAACTGTTACCACTCGATTCTGGCCCTTTTTAACTGAGTTCATCTGCTGCCTTAGCTGTGCCGGCATTGGCATGGAATGTCACACTTTCCAAAACTGCCAAGCAATGGAAACATATTTCAATTTTTTTTTAAATCTAAGAGATAGCGTTTCTGGCATAAAATCTCTGGGGAGAGAAGTTGTAGATGAAGATTGAGATGCTGTTAGTCACTGGGCTGTTTCTTGGTTCTTTTTCCAGCACTGTTTGCAGCCTACCTGGGTGCTGCCCTGGCCAACATGCTATCTGTGGTGAGTCAACATGGGCTAAGAACATTCCACAGCACCCTTCCTGGTGTTCTCTCAGCTCCCCGAAGCCGACACATACCCCTCCTCCAGGAAGCCTTCCCCGATTCACCCCTCTTGTCTCAAATCACACTTCTCACCTCAGCACCCACTAGACTGAAGGAGCTGGGACTCAAACATTTAAATGTCAACTGTTGGTCAATCAAATCTCATTCTCAGTGGGCAAATGGCGCTCCTCATAGAAAGACAATTTGAAGAGCATTACCTTGTAAATCAAACTCCTGTCAACTGTATCATCCTCTAGAACTAGTTTTAAGTCTTTATTATTTACTATTTTTTGTATGTTTATAGATTGTCTGCCCAACAAGCTTGTGGGCAGGTGTACATCTTCGTTTGTCCCATAGCAAGTAGCACAGAGTCAGGAGTCACGAGGGAAGGCTCCAGGGAAGACAGGGAGCTAAGCCCCAGCTGTGCCAGAGGGAAGCCAGAGCTGGCGGCTGTGGGCATGTGCAGTAGTCGGAGAACTCCTTCTTTGTCTGAGCCCCAGTGTGGGGTGGGTTGTAAGGTCGGAAGGAGCTGTATGGCCACTCCCAGCCCCCCACATACACTGAGAGGGGCCCAGGCCCCAGCAAAGAGCACTCAGGGCTCAGCCTGCAGCCCATGCCTCCCCTTGGAGATGGGTTCAAGGGCACATCTCATACTCACATAGGCAGCCAGGAAAAGTCCCGCTGGTCTGGCAGGTGCGGATGGAGTCGGGCCTTCAACTCACCGCAGTCTAAATCCCTCCTTCACTCCTAGTGAAATTGAACAGTTTAGACTTAGCGTAGGAAGGAATTTTCTAAGCAATAGAATTGGCATCCCCTGATGCCATCAGGTGTCCCCCGATGGACCAAGTCGCTCCTCTGGGCCCCATCACATTTTGCACGTGCATCTGCTGCAACACTTATCATACAATATTGTAATGAGTCTAGGACACGTCGGTCCTCTTCCACCTTCAGCCCACCTTCAGAACAGGGGCCCAGTTGTATTCTTATCTTTATCTCTAGTACCTATTACAGCATCCAGCACATAGGAGGTGCTCAAGAAATGCTAAATGAATGAAACCCTAAGGCAATGAGCACCCCCTCCCATACCATGGGGAATATTAGAGCTGGGGCTGAACAGCCCCATCAGAAGCACTGCCAGGAGACAAGAGTATGCAGCATGGCTGCTGTGGCTCCTGTCTGCCCTGGGCTTTCCCATCTCTTCTTGCACCCATCCTCTCACCCAGTCATCCAGCCGATCAATACGTGTCGCGTGCCTTCCTTCGACAAGGTCCTGGAAGGGCTATGAAACAGGAGGCTTTGGTTCCTGATCACAGGCATTCACAGGGTGACCGGCCCTTTCCTCTGTGCACAGAGAAGTTACAGGTTATACCACTCAAGTTACACATTTTTCAAACCAAATTAAGTTTGCTTTCTGTGTGCCTACTATGTTTAAGACACTGTGCTGGCCACTCTCAGGGAGACGAAAAGTACAGGCTCTTAACTCACTCTGAAGGAATTTCCAATCTCCTTGAGGAACAGGATATAAAAATGTTGACTGATGCCTGTGAGACCATCCCAGCTGTCCACAGAAGACAGCACTTAGGGGCTGCACTCTTTCGCTTTCTGACTGGCACACGTGTGTGCAGCCCCATGTCTTCAACAATGCCACCCTCTACTTGACGATGATGACCACGTACTGAGGACCATTGACTGAGCACTCAGCACTCAGTAGGCACTAGCCACTAACTCTCTGAGTAGGTATTACTATCCCTGTTTTGCTGTTAAGGAAATAGATCTCAGAAAGATGGAACAACTACAACAAGGGGATCAGAGCTGAGACTGGGAACTGGGTCTGTGGAACTCCAGAGCCACATCTGTTCCACTACAGGACTGGAAAGGGATATTTCCCGAATCACCTTGTTTGGTCTTAGCAGGGCTTTGGAGAGTCTCACTGAGTGGAATTCATCATTCATGTGTATTCCTTACAGCACAGTTCTGATGCTAGTCTGTCACTGTTCTTCCCCACGTCCCGTCCCACCCAACAGTGCCATTGTGAAGGCACATGACTGGCATCGTTGCCTCCATGGTATTACCTGAGATTTTTACTACTTATAATAAAATGATGTTTGGTGGTGAGGGGGCATGACTGATTCTGCCTGGGAGCTGAATTTGCAGGCTCTTTGCTAACAAGCTATCCACTTATCTCAAATGAAGAGTGTAGAGGGGTATTAAAAAAAACCCCAGGGCATCTTAAGGAATAAAAAACAGGGCAACAACATGAGAAAAGGAGCTGGGAATGGGGAAGCTCTTGAGAAGAGAGGTAGCCACTCTCCACCTCCAGCTCCATGGGTCTAGGATTCACATCTCCGCCTCTCTCCAGACGTCTGCTCTATTTCCCTGCGACCCTCTGTGACGGGTTCCTTCTGCTGCACACAGCCACCAAATGGCCAGCCAGCGCTCATTGGCTCTCTAGTCCTTTCAAATCAAGAGCCTCTGGCTGCAGTCTTTGCACCTCTGAGTTCAAATTCTCCAGAGATGGATTCTATTCCTGGGTCATCTCCCTATGGGAAGCTGCATTTGAGTCAGGGGCCTCACTCTAGTCCAGTCAGCTGTGACTGAAGGAAAAAAGGGAACTTGAACTACAAAATGGCTGGCAAAGCCATCCCTTTAATAGGAGCTATGGGAGACGGCAGGGAATGGCCATAGTTCCTAGAGCTGGAGGTGAAGCCTGGCCAGACACCCCAAGAAAAAATATGTCTCCTACATAAAGGGATATTATAATAGGGTTCCAATGGCTGCATTTGAAGATTGTGTGTTCACCCATTACAATGCATGCTGATAACGCTGGCAAGATTTTATTTACATTGGTCATGAATTCAGTGTTATTCCTACCAATGCCCGCAAAGAGCCCCCTCCTCTCTCCAGGGCTGATAAAAGAGCCAATGAAACAGGCACAAGCATCTGGTGACCAAGGCTTCTCTTGTGTTCTCCCTTCCCCCCAGTTTGGACTACCACCCTGCACCTGGCCCTTCTGCCTCTCAGCACTCACCTTCCTGCTCCTGACAACCAACAACTCCGCCATGTACAAGCTTCCACTCAGCAAAGTCACCTACCCAGAAGCCAACCGAACCTACTACCTGTCCCAGGAGAAAAACAGAAGACCATCGACCATAGCGAAGTACCAGGCCTACGATGTCTCCTAAGTTGCCCTTTCCAAAATATGTCACTGTAAACTCAGCCTTCAATAGGTTATCCAGGTCACCAGGCTGAAGGCCACTTAACCTCTCCTTCTATCTATTCTGTGATTCTCCCTCTAAACAAGCTTACACCCTAGTTACTCCCACGCACAGGGAAATTTGTGTGTAGTCACCACTTAGGAACCTCTCTGTTCTAAGATACACAATACTTGTCAAAGATAGGCTTAGTTGAGACTTGATACCTATAGCTCACTCCATAAGAGCTCCCTTTGCGGGAAACTTGCCCCCTTCTGCAAACTAAGCCACATCCCTAGAGAGAACCCACCAAAGAGGGGAGAGAGATTGCTGACATGGTCATGCAACTCAGTCATTTAATGTAGCAATGCCCAGCATCCTGAAATGTGCATTAGCTTGAAAAGCAACAGGCTGGTCTGCCCCAGCTCTGCCAATAATGAATTCCCACCACTCAGTTGAGTCCGTCCCTGCTCCCAGCCTCAATTCGTTATTGGTTTCACGATGGGGAGGGACTCTGTGGTCCCTTCTACCTCAGAAGTGCTGATTCTTCGCTCTTTCCTGGAAACTGACAAAATCAGCATGGCCAACAAGTAACTACTCTGAGTTAAGTAAAAGATGGAAAGGTTACCTGAAGAAGAGGCAGGACAATTTTAATGTTCTATGGAGATTGATTCTGGAATCATGAGAAGATGTTCTCCAGACTTGGGGTTAGAAGCCTAAATTCACTGGAAATGCCACATGCCTTCTTTTACATAACAGAAATATCTCTGGAAATGTCATAAGATGACAAATGATCTTTTTCAACATTCAAATCGTATTTTAAACAAATGTATCTGCTTTTGTAGTATTCATAAACGTACTCTCATTAAACAGTTAAGTTTGCAAGTTGGTGTCAGGGTTTTCTTAAAATGGGGCTCACCTGCATTGTTCACACATGGCCCACTGGAGGGGTTTTCCACAGCCAAGCTTGTGTCTGAAAAGAGATGTGCATGGGTTAAAAATTATCAGAAGAGGGTTTGATTTGCTGACGACGGGAATAATACAGAAATAACCAGGGTCGTTGTTTTCTGTTTGAGTTGAAATGCAGGCTGTCGACAACCCATCTCACTTTTTAGGGGATAGTCTTGCACCCCAAAATTACAAATCCAGTCTGTCTTGAATGGCCAATAACTCTTATTATTTGGTTACTCTGGTTATAGCATTGAGCTCCTAAACCACAGGACCCCTTTGTGGGAAGCCACGTGGCTCAGCCTTCCCACCCTTACCCCAGAGGAGGGCGAATGAACCTCTTACAGAGCCTTGATGGGGCCCATCCCCTCTCACACTCTTCCAGTTTAGCCTGACGGGGTGAGGACAGGAGACAGGGGAAGGAGGACAGACCCTCTATAAACGCAGCTTCAAGGAAAGAATTCTATTGGACCAAAATCCATCATTTAGAAAAAGTTAGTGTCTGCTTTTATCTTTTCCTTTCTCTGTCTGGCCTGAGATCCTAGCCATCCTCTGCCAGCCCCAGAGCCTTGGGCTGCTCTCTCTCTCCCAGATCCAGGTCATATCTAGCCAATTATGACTTCTCCAGGAAAATGAACACTTCTCGCTGGAAACAAATCCCCCCCATCAGAAAGGGAACGAGTCACACTCCAGAGGCTACCTCTGAGTTTGTGATCACACCTGGAGGCCAAGAAGGTCTCAGGCTGTATTTTAATGACCATGGAGTTAAGGGTCTCTGAAGATTAAGCATCCAGGAGTTTCACCAGAAAGCTGTTTATGCTCACAGCTCACTCAGCTGCCCCAGAACCTCTAAGTGATGACATAGAACTATTAAAATACCGCTTTTCGTGCATTTTCCACCGAAGTGTTATAATCTGGTTTTATTAAGAGCAGGAAACCCTCTACGGACATGCCGTTCTGATTATTGACCATTAACAAATCCCTTCAGCTGTTCTAAGTATTTCAATATCCTCACCTGTAAAGCAAATTGAGTTGGCGCAGGACACCAAGCAAGGAGGAAATAGATGGGATAAAAGAATTTGACTTATGAAAATGTACAATGTCCATAGGATTTCAAAGTAGTCAGTCTACTCCAGCACTTCAATTAGGTGTCAACAGAGGAGAGAGGGAGCAGCTCACACCAGCTCCTGAGAAGTGATCATGCAAGTGAGCACGTCTCTCCCAGCACCGTTCAGTGACATCTCACTGATAGCTTGAAATCAGCCACGGTGGCAGTATTTACACCACAGAAATCAGCAAACTACAAATATGGGCTTTTTTTTCCCCTCCAGACAAACAGCTTACCAGCGCACCACTGCCAAATTAATTTGGTGGAAGAAAAGAAAACCATTTCAGGACTCCTAGCCAATGACTCAGAAACTAGGGCCAAAATATTCAATCCAGCAATGCTCCATGGATGCCATTCCACATCCAAAAGGCATTTGAGAGAATAACAAACGTGTTCTCAGGCATAAAAAAAGAACTTAGAGATTTACCCGCAGAGTCCTACATTGAAAATACTCTAAGTGGAAGGACCCAAATAAGAAGATAAACGAATCTAGGAAATGCAGCAAGGGACACAGAAGTATAGGGGTGATCAAATACCTTGGTAATGTTTATAATTTATTAGGACCAAAGGGGAAAAAATAGAAGAAATACACCATTGCAACCTAGAGCTGGAGTATTAAATGATGGTGGAGGCACCAAGCCAGGGCAGAATGGGGAGATGTGGGAATGGTGACAAAAGAAAGATGAAAGCCTGTTCAAGTACTGAGCTTGTACAAAAATTGATAAGTTTAAAGAAGTCTACAGGGGGGCTGGCCCAGTGGCGTAGTGGTTGAGTTCATGTGCTCTGATTCAGTGGCCCAAGATTTGTGGGTTCGGATCCCAGGCATGGACCTACAACTGCTCATCAACCCATGCTGTGGTGACATGCCACATATAAAATGGAGGAAGACTGGCACAGATGTTAGCTCAGGGACAATCTTCCTCAAGCAAAAAGAGGAAGATAGGCAACAGATGTTAGCTCAGGGGCAATCTTCTTCACCAAAAAAAAACAAAAAAGGCTACAGGGAGGAATAAACATGGGTGATAAGGGCAACCACCACGAGAACAAAATTAGAATTATAATTTTTGAACTAGAAGAAAATTCCATCTTTCCAATGGAAAGCGGAAAAGGAGAAAAATATTATAGAAAGTCCCCCTAAAAACATCGCAAGTATGAAAAATAAATAAATGGCAGAAACTAGTCATAATATGACAGTAATTGACCAAAAGAAAGGTTAATTATTAAATTTACTGCTGGAAGACAGAGACTCTTGGGTTGTATTTTTCAGAAAGACCTAACGGGAGCTGCTGGGAAGACAGCAGTACAGGAAGACTCTGAAGTCACCTCCTGCTATGAACACAACAAATCCACAACCCCCTGTGGAAAAACTTCCTCTGAGAGATATCTGGAAACTGGATAAAAAGAACCGCCACAACAAGGGATGACACTGATGGGGGTGGAAGAGGCAGAAATACACCCCGCTGAGGAAAAAACCACATCCTAGCAGCAGGGGTTCACAGCTGGGAACAATCTCAAAGGTGTGAGGCTTTTCCCAGGGCAGTGGGAGGATCCCAGCAGGGGATCTATGCCACATGAGGCATCCCAGCCTTTCAATCAGCACAACCCAGAAGAGATCCCATAATACCAGGCTTTGCTAGCTTTGAAAACTGATGGGGAATACCTCCAGAAAAACTATCAGACTTCAGTGAGAGAAACACCTGCTCTTAAAGGGCCTACACACAGATTCACTCATGCTGGAAACCAACACAGAAACACCAGAAAAAAGTGCATAGTCCATTGGTAAAATGACTCACTTACTAACCTCTGAGCACATCTCAGCGAGGCAAGAGGCAGCTGGGCCCACCTCCTTAATGTTCGACATCACTAATTATTAGGGAAATGCAAATCAAAACCACAGTAAGACATCACCTCACACCTGTCAGAACGGCTATAATTAAGAAGACAGGAAATAACAAGTGTTGGAGACGATGTGGAGAGAAGGGAACCCTCACACACTGCTGGTGGGAGTGCAAACTGGTGCAGCCATTAGGGAAAACAGTATGGAGATTCCTCAAAAAGTTAAGAATAGAAATACCATATGATCCAGCTATTCCACTATTGAGTATTTACCCAAAAAACACAAAAACACTAAGTTGAAAAGATATTTACACCCCTATGTTCACTGCAGCGTTATTCACAATAGCCAAGACTTGGAAACAAGCTAAGTGTCCATCAATGGATGAACAGATAAAGAAGATGTGGTATAAATATACAATGGAATATTACTTGGCCAAAAAAAAGAGAAAATCGTGCCAGTTGTGACTCCAGGGATGGACCTTGAGGGTATTATGCTAAGTGAGTGTTATATGGGGAAAAATCAAATACTGTATGATTTCACTCATATGTGGAAGCTAAAAACAACAACAAACATAGACACAGAGATTAGATTGGTGGTTACCAGAGGGGAAGGTTCCTCAAAAAATTAAAAATAGAACTAGCATATGACCCAGCTATTCCACTTCTGGGTATTTATCCAAAAGAAAACAAAACACTAACTCAAAAAGATATATGGGGGCCAGCCCAGTGGTGTATTGGTTAAGTTTGCACACTCCGCTTCGGCAGCCCAGGATTTGTGGGTTCATTCCCACGTGTGGACCTATACACCACTCATCAAGCCACGCTGTGATGGAGTCCCACATACAAAAATAGAGGAAGACTGGCACAGATGTTAGCTCAGGAAGAATCTTCCTCAAGTAAAAAAAAGGAAAGAGGAGGATCGGCAACAGATGTTACTTCAGGGCCAATCTTCCTCACCAGAAAAAAAAAGGTATATGCACTGCCATGTTCATTGCAGCATTGTTTACAATAGCCAAGATATGGAAACAATCTAAGTGTCCACTGATAGATGAATGAAAAAAGAATGAAAAAATCTATATATGTATGTATATATATATATACAATGAAATATTATTCATCCATAAAAAAGAATGAAATCTTGCCATTTGCAACAACATGGATGGATCTCAAGGGCATTATGCTAAGTGAAATAAGTCAGACAGAAAAAGACAAATACCATATTATCTCTCTTATATGTGGCATCTAAAAAAATAATTTTTTTTTTTTAAAAAAAAGCTCATAGATACAGAGAACAGATTGGTGGTTTTCAGAAGCAGGGGATAGGAGGTGGGAGAAATGTGTGATCAGTTTTTGTTTTTGTTTAAACAAATTGAACAACAACAAAAAAGAATGATGTAAAAAGGACAAAAACATGTAATCATCATAAACACATATGTATGTAAACAATCAGCCACAAAATACGTCAAGCAACAATTGACTGAACTAGAGGGAGAAATAAATCAATAATTATAGATAAGATTTTACCAAAACCTCAGAACTTGAAACATCAAGACAACAAAAAATGAGCAGAGATATCAGAGATATAAACAATAGAATTACGAAGTATGAACTATCGCATGCGTGTAGGATTCTGAACCCTCTCAATCAATACCTCCCCCAAAAAAACCAAGTCAAGAGCACACATTCTTTTCAAGCACTGGTAGAACATTTACAAAATAGACCACGTATTATGCCATCAGACAAGCTTGGGCTCCTCATGCGATGCTGATGGGAATTGACCAGTGCAGCCACTTGGAGAGCAAGTCTTCAGGATCAACGTTAAGCATACACACCCCCTGTGACCCAGAAATTCCCCTCTAGAGTATGTGCTGGTCCCAGGAAGACTGCTCAGCATAGCAATCACTGGGACACACAGAGCTGGAGGAGAATGCAGAGGCAAAGCAGGGGAGCAGGCCAGAGAGTCCTACACAGCCGGTGGAAGCCCAGGACCACAGACATAACAACGTGGATAGATCTTAAAACCTAGCGCTGGGTCAAAAATAAGAAAATGCCATTTATGATCAATACTATTTGCATAAGTTCAAAATGCCTGCACTCCAAACAGTACGTATTTTGCAAGGGCACAAAAAAAAGGTGCACTGGAATGCAGGAGGGAAAAGAGAGTGGAGAATAAAACTGAAAAGACGTACACACTTTCATACACAGAAGAAAGGTCGTTGCACGGACCAGTGAAAAGAATATGCAGGAACTAAGCCTCATGGTGAACTCCACTCTGCCGGAAAAAAATTAAAATGAGTGGGTCATGGTGTGAGCTCTGCTCAGCCGTGTCAGAGCCTCTGGTTGTCAGTGTCAGAGTGACCTCAGAATTGGGGCAAGGTCAAGCTGCAAAGCCCCCAGCCCTCCTTTCTGCCTCCACTAGCGTTCGGAAGCATTCTGGCCACGCTACAAAGTGCTACATACATTGAAAAAAAAAGGTTTCTGCACTTTGCCTCCAAATTAGAGGAACATTTTGATCCCTAGAGTAAAAAATAGTAATGAACATGTGTATTGATTTCCGCTTTTAGAATGTTTTAGAATCTCTGACGAAATGTGGAAATAAGGGGAATTTTTTTGTTGT